CAACCATGGTCACCACATGCTCTCCTTACCCTGGGTCATTCCTTGTCACAATCACCCTTGAAAGAAAGGCTATTTTCCAATTATTTTAATCAATGAGTTCTAAGAAAAGAGATGCCATCTGCTTCAAACATAAAGTTTCCATTCTGGTAAAAACCATTTCAAACTCTTTATGAAGCCATAGTCAACAGGGGAGGAAGGAAACCACTTTTCAGCAAAACCTTGCCAAGCCATAGTATCTCTTCTAGGATGGGCTCAGTGTGGAGACCACTATCTGGCATCGCACTCAGAGTTTATCAGCGGGTGCAGGCGGCTCTGTTCATTGACCACAGGGCACTACCCTGTGAGTGCCCCAGAATAGCTGCAGCTACCTGAGAGCAGTCCAATCCTCAGGGACTCGTTATTGTCCCAGATAAACAGCGTTGCCTCGGCCAGCACGTAATGGCTGTATTTAACTGTGATAAGTGATGGGCAGCAGTGCCCAAGTGAGTGGCTGTCTGCTAGGGCCTATCGGACAAAGGCAAGCGGGCTGGGCAGCAGGCATTTCTTACACATTGGTGAGCTGGTGCCACAGGGTTGAAGACTCCTGGGGATGAATATGGGAGAACTTGCCTTTTAACTGAGTAAGACAGGACAAATGTATGACAAAGGTATTTAAGGAAGGAAATAAGAGTGAGAGCTTGAAAAATGAGTTAGATTAATAGAGGCAGGCTTCCGGGTTGTGGTGGAATCTCATGCCACAGAAAGGCTGGCTTGGAAATGTTGGGCTGTAGAATGAGACAGACATTTTTCTCTAGATACACATTTACTTTGGGGACTGGCTTCCTGGAAACTGTGAAATGCAACAACATAAGTCTCAAGTTATAAAGGTCAAAAGTGTTCAGGGGAGAATGTCCATATTTTGACAGTATTAACATTGAAAAAAAAACCTATAGTTTTCAGACCCGTTTTTGATCTTTATAGTTCTCTGGAAATTTCTGTGTGATAAAGGAGGATGAGTAACTAAATCACATTCTTAGCAATGCTTCCCTCATGAAATGGGAAATTGACTTTCCAGGTGGACAGAGAATTACTCAGCACTCTCATTGTGCACTTATGATTCCGAGAGAGGATGTTTCATTCTTCTAGCCAAAGGCGACAGGCAGACCTGGCATTCTGAAGATAACTGGCCATCTGTACCCAATCGAGACCATACATGGTGGTATCAGCCTTCATACGTGGTGCTAGAGATGAGCCTGTTTGTATGTGGTTGTGTGTGTGAGGAATCCCTATATAACAGGGCCAAGTTATCCTGCCTTCAGACAAAACCCCTAATTCAGGGGGAAATCCAGATGTGAGGTAGAAGCATGGTCACATTCCCAGAACCCCTTGCATTCAAAGGCATTCCAAAAATCTCTACCAGAGATATGTGTGTGTGTGTGTGTGTGTGTGTGTGTGTATGTGTGTACATGTGTACCTGTGTGCCTGTGCACACACACAGGAATGTTTACATCTGTGACATTAGGGCAAAGGAGACTAAAATTTTGGACTTAAAGGTCCACAAAATTAGTAGGCTTCCTTATATACTAGCAATAGGTTAATTTCTAGCTTCTCAAGTTTTAATACTATATATTTGATACCAACTTTTTTCTAAAAATCCCACAATCACAGCATGTAAGAGATGGAAGATATAAAGTGTCACCCAGGCCCCAGTGTCACAGAGGAAGGAGTCAAGGCTTAGGGATATGGAGAAGTTGGAAAGGAACAGGCCCAAGGCCACCCAGCTAATGAGGACAATGCTGGACTATCATTTGGGTCTCTGTCTTCCTTACTGTTGTAATTTCTCCTTTTGCACAGAAGAAGAAACTTAGAGAGGACTGATTTTCCACTGGATCCCTCCGTGGGGCAAGGACTCCAGGCTCTGGCCACTTTTTAAAAATCTTAGCTTGCTCCCTCCCATCTCTGTTGGGTTCCCTACCTTGCTGGCCAGTACCAATAAATAGAGGAGAGTGAAGCCCACACTTGGTTCTTAATTGTCAGTAATTCCAGAGCTCTATTTGCCCAATGAGGCGGGCAGAGCTGGAGCCAGACCCAGAGCCATGGAGACTGACTTCAGGACCACCCCCCTCCTCAAATGTTACCAGCAGAAAGGGGCTTGTACTGCCACCAACTAGCCTCTGGGGGTGTCCCAGGCATGCAAGAATGAGGTGAGAGGGAATGTAAGGCAGAAGTGGTCCACTTTGCTCTTGTCTTCAAATCAGCTCGGTGTAGGGAGGTTTCAGAGCTGAGCTGCAAAAAATAGAGCGCAGTGCAGCTGCACCCTTTAGAACTTTGCAGGAAAACACATATTATTTACCAGACAATAATAGATACCAGAGAATAATAATGATTATTATAGTGTTTGGGATGGCAAACGCTGTAGTTAAGGTTCCAGAATGGCTCTCATTATAATCCCGTTTTCCCACTCTCTTATGAAAGCCTGAAAATTTTCTCCTAGTATGCTGGGCATGTTTGGTCTTTGTCCAAAGGTGATTTGAATACAAAGAAACTTAGTTGAGAGAGATTCCTTTTTTTTTTTTCTTTTGGGGTGATTACATTAAAGAAAAAGCTACATCATTAAAAAAGAAGTTGCAGCATTCCTGAGTAAGCAATTAAAAATGGTGGTGTTTCCCAGTCACTGGAGGAAATATTGAACACTTCTTTTTCTCTTCCTTTTTAAGGAATTCAGAGGTTCCCTCAGATTCCAAGATTCAGTCACTTTTGGTCCCAGGCCCAGAGGTGGAGATCGTTTTCCTCCTTCCACAGCAACTTCCAGGCTGCTCAATAAATGCAAAAGAACTGTCCCCAGATGAAGTTATCCCTGTGTTTTTTGGACCCACTTGTCATTTCCACAGCTCTTTCCCAATATTTTGTGGCCTCTCCTTTAGTTCTTTTTAGGTACCAGGGATTGAACAGAGGGACACTTAACCACTGAGCCACACCCTCAGCCCTTTTTTGTATTTTACTTAGAGACAGTGTCTTGCTAAGTTGCTTAGGCCCTCGGTTTTGCTGAGGCTGGCTTTGATCTCTTGATCCTCCTGCCTCAGCCTCCTGAGTAGCTGGAATTACAGTCATGCGCTACAATGTCCAGCTTGATAGTGATTCTTGATGGCTTATGTGGTGGGGGACACTAGGGATTGAAACTAGGAACATTCTGCCTATGAGCCATATGAACTACATCCCTAGCCCTTTTTTAGACTTTATTTTGAGACAGGTTCTCACTAAGTTGCTGAGGCTGACTTTGAACATGCGATCCTCCTGCCTCAGCCTCCTATAGCTGGAATTATAGACATGGGCTGCTCTGCCCTGCAATCTTTTTTTGTTTTTATATTCCTCCTCTCCATTGTATCTAATTCTCAAAAAGAAAGCGGGTGTGTGTGTGAAGGGGGGTAATGTGAGCTTTTTATTCAGAGATAAATATCCCCATTTCCAAATCTGACCATGCCAAATGAAAAGGTTTCCATGGCCTTGTAATTCCACCCCCATTGCATATTTGTGGTGTTTTGCATTTTCACTTTGGTTATTTAATATACATATTAAATGCTCACAGATCTGGTGATTTAATGTGATTTGGGGAACTCAGGCATTTCCTGTCGTGCACATTGAGTTTTTCAAACCTTGTTTTTGGCTGATGATTATTATCATTGCCATTAACACCAGGATTTGGATAGCAGGGTTCAAAGCACAAGCTTCTACTTAATTCTCCCAGTGGACATTTGACCTCCTCACTCTGGTGCTCAATTCATGTTGCAAGCACCCTGAGCAAGTTTCCAGGTTTCTCTGTGGCTGCCATAAAACGAGGAAATTCTTGTATGTTATGTCTGGGGTCCTTTCAAGTACTAAATTCAACACCTCTCTGAAATTATCTGTTCATTGTTCTGAGAATAATCTCAATAGTTGTAAAGATATTTACAAGTCCTCTGTCCCCACGGCACATTAACCAACTTTTGCCCTTTTATATTTCTGATGTCCCCATTTATTAAGAGGAAGAGAACTGCTTGACTCTCATTCATTTGGCACAAAGGCATTAGGCCAGACTCTTGAACCTGGGAAGAGCGTACGGGCGTGCCTGAGACAGCCCCAGCCCTGGACCTCAGGGACTTCATAGTTCCCTGGACAGACATGGAAGTGGCTACTTCCTGAAAGTGACTGAAGTCCTCAGTAGGCTGTCTTTTGGACCAAGGGACTGAAAGCAAATGAAATAAACCAGTGGAGATGAAGAGGCAGAGCCTCATGTCTGTGGTAAATGTGGGGATGGAACCTGGTGAAAAATTGCATTTAGAGTCCCTGCACTAGGATCCCAGGTCCCAAGGCCCCCAGTGGGTGGTTTATTGTCTTCCAGTCCTTTGTTCCTTTTCATTTTGGGTCTGAAGGAATGTGAACACCTCACTTTTACAGGCAATACCCTCAAAGAGAGAGGGGCAACCCTCTCTCCCATCTCCGTTGCCTCTGTAGGAAACTCCTGATGAGAAGTCCATGTGTTCATGGTAACGTCATTGGCTAAAGAGCGAATCTCTGGGCCTTCCTTCTGCAAACTCCAGAGCTGACCCATGGAGTACAAGGGCGAGGTCTGGAGCTCCAGGGTTCCCTAGTGACCTTGCCTCGATTTGGAATGACCTTGGATGACTCCAAAGACCTCCTGTGGGTTAAGCAGGCAGTCCAGGGGAGGGTAAAAGTGGCTGGGTTGCAAAGGATGCTGCGGTCTTCGGGGTGAGGGCGTGGTGCGCGGTGCTCATTATGGTCTTCCAAAAAGGGCTCGAGTTTCATTTCCTCACACAAAGCTGGCAGGGCTGACCCGGAGCAGACCATGAATGAGACTCATGCCGAAATCACGCTGTGCCTTCGTTTTGGGGGCTCATCCTAGGTCTGAACTGGCAGATCGTGCTGCTTCCTGACTCATGCCTGGGTTCTCCCCAGCTGGGCAGGGTGGGTCGGTGGGGATTTGGTCCAGTGCATTCTGATGGCCCCTTCTCCTCTTTTCCCAGGAACGATCACTCCCAGGGTACCTTGCATGGAGAGAGGGCGCGGAGCAAACCATGTCACGCCATCCAATGACACCAGCTGGTCAGCTCACCACCCCCTCTGGCTAAAACTCAAGCAAATAAAGCCGCTTCCTGTCATTAAGCATCTCGGAGGAAGCAGCCCTCCCTCGGTGGCCTCTAGCCCAGAGAAGCCAGCACGTCTTGGACCCACCAAGCGGGCCCAGCCTTCCTGCTGCCACCATCTCTGCTTTTCCCCAGAGGAACTTAGGGATTTCGCCCCCTGGTTTTAAAAAAAAAAACAAAACAAAACACCAACAAGCCACAAGGACCAATGTAGGTATTCTCCCCGCCCCATCTTCAAGGCTCAGTGGCCCAGGCTGGAAGATGATACGGATTGGGAAAAAAAAAAAAAAATCTTTTTTAAATCTTTTTAAAAACTGCTGTGGTTTTGCTGCTACACTAAGAATTGTGATTTGCATTGTATGGTTTTGGACCTATACTGTTCACGTTTTGATGGTGGAGAGGGATGGCACTGGAGTCCCAAAGCTTCAGAGTCATCTCTGTCCGGCCCAGGATGCACTTTTAATGAAGAGTTAGAATATTTTATTGGCTAATATACTTTTCTTGTTATTTTTACAAAGGCCACCTTTATCCTTTTTGATGCCATATTTTCAGTGTTACACTTTTATGGCTTTTAATTTTCGATTTGACAGATGTAAGAAGCAGCATGGATAGTTTATACTGTGGTTTTTTCAGAGACTGAATGCCAAGAGAACTCGGTAAATGTTTATTCTTCTCAGCTTTCTCTTGAAATTCCCCTAAATAGCGCCCCATTTGGGAACAGAGCAAGAGTGTTGAACTGAAGACCAAAATGCCCTCAAGGTGTAAAATAATCCGAGGGGGGAATATTTGCTGGGCGTCACGAAAGACTCGGATGAAATTTCAACCCTGATGGTTTTTGGTGATCCAGGAAGTCAGTGAGACAATCTCCCTATACGCAGAGCCCTTTCATGATAATTAGAATGGCATGGACGAACCAATGAAAACAAGAGGGAAAGTGAGAAAGATCGCCCATGATTCTGTTTCACTGTTTGCTTTCTCCTGTCACGGTTAAGAGAAACGTGCAATGGGATCCTCAGTCCGTGGGTGGAGGATAACAGGGTAGATTTACTTGTGTGCACTTGTACAGTTGTAGCTGCGAGTCCAGAAGTCCTCTAGAGCATGTGTACTGGCACTGAGTCGGTGAGACAGTCGTGGAGTACCCCATTCTGAGGAGAAAAAAAAAAAAAAAAAAAAAGAAAAAATTAAGGAAAAAAATCAAAAAAAGAAGAAAACTAAAAAAAAAAAAAAATCAAATCACCTTGTGATTCAGTGTATCTGTTTACTAACTCCAATAAAAGCAATTGTTCCCTCTGCAGGGGTCTGGGTGCCCCACCCCACCAGGCCGCTGAGCCGCAGTAGGGGGGTGGTGGGTTACCGGTAGACAAGGCCGGGCTGGCTCACCTGGCCGTGCGGCACCCCGGGCCACGGATGCGGTGTACATACTGTATTTCTATATTCTCCTTTGTACAGTCACTTAACAAGTCAAGCTACTGTTTTACAGGTGCTCCTTATTTATTAGAGCCGTGAGAGCTTGGGGGACACACCTGGCGAGCGAGCTCGCTTTTTAAAAATGAAATTTGGGGGGCAAGGGAAGGGAGGCGGGAGGGAGGGAAAGCTCGCAAGCCCCGGGAGAGATTTATAAAAGTGAACAAAAGAAAAACTTCCAGCCACAAATTAAACCAACCAACCCCAACACCAAACCCACCCATGCAGGAAGCAGCAGCCCTGGTTCTGGGTGCTCATTTTCCTGCTGGGCCTACAACATTCTCCTCTCTCCCTGATGGGTGTCAGATTCATCAAACAAAAATAAATCTCTAAGAAAAAAAAAATGCACTTACATGTGCTTATTTGTTTTTTCTCATTATTATGACTATTGTTGTTATTTTCCTTGTTACAGAAAGTGATGATTTTTCTCCCGCTGGGAGACATTTTTTTCAATTAAACCTAGTAAGTTTCAAAGATGGTGAGATACAGGGAGGCACTGGTCCTCCCTAAGCTGCTGCTATTATGCAGACTGAGGCCTCTAATCGATGTAAATCTTGTCTAATCCTTTGGTTCTACAGGTGAAGAAAATTGAAGGTTAGAAAAGCAAATAAACTTGTCCAGAGCCCCGCACTTGATTAATGTAATTTTCAAAACCCAAATTAAAATGATTAGAATTTTTAAATCATTAAAATCTTAGACACCATCATGAGGTTCCTCTGAGTGACCATCTTGTGGATTTGGGAGACCTGAGAGAATCTTGCAGGTTTCCTGGTATGTTGCAAGGGTGATTCCATCCAAGCTGAGCCCCACAGAGGCAGCCCAGCCAGGATGTGGCAGGGGCCGAAACCCCGCTGTAGCTGTCTGGTGCAAAGTCCCTGACAGCATTGTTCATCAGGACTTGGCCACTGAGACGGCCATCCAGGATATTGATTTTGCTTTTGTCTCTAGTCCAAGATTGTCGAGCAAACATTTTGACCCTTCCGAAAACAAAAGGTACCTTTGTTCCCACAAGAAAAGACTCTGTGGCATCTCATGAGCCATCAGAACTCTTTTCCTCCTCCCCTTCCTTGTCCTGATCCTGGTGCTCTCTCTTGAGCTATCAAAACCAAGAGAAATGGGACAATTATGGGGACAATAACCAGTATGTGTTGAGCACAGAAGCGTGGCCTCATTCTTCCTCATAGTAACCCTGTAAAGAAGGGCCTCTTATTTTCTCTTTATTATATGTTAAAAAACAAAACAAACAAACAAATAAAAAAAACCTCAGAGTTTAGTGGGTTTAGTAACCACCCAAGGTCACACAGCTGGTGAGTTGCAAGCCCAGGAGGTTCAGGATCTGAACCCAGGCCCTCCCTCTGATCTGAAGCAAGCATTGACATCCTCACGACCACTTTGCCTTCCTGTAAACTTGTGGCCGTGATTCAACCTTCTCTAAAGTGGCCTTCGTTTTAGTCTAAGCCAGAGGGGTGTGCGGTGATGGATATTGTGCGTTGGACCTACTGTGTGTGTGGCAGCATGGAGGGCACTGTTTTCTGAGGAGTAAATCAGGCCATGTTTTCCACAGCAGTGGTCAGACCCCCACAGATCACAAGGCCCATGCCTACTGCTGAGGGGACACCAGAGAAGAGTAAAGCCATGGTCCCTGCCCCACTGACACATGCTAAGAATACCCTTGTCTGGGTATTTTCCAGGGTTTATATCATCACACATCTGGAGCCTGGTTTTAGTTTTGCAAAGCCACCCTCCCCTTGCAGGTGACTTGCACACACTGGGCCTTTGGCCAGCTACCTCTCTACCCCCAACTGCTCCCACTCCAGCCTCTTCTATAGGCCACCTGACTGAATTAGGAACTGACTCCCAAAGGCCCTGCTCTCTCCCTGTCCTGGGTCCTTGCCCAATGAGCTGCCTCTGCCTCAGATGTCTTTTCTTTGTCCCCTGGGCAATTCCCACAGCCAGACCCCTGAGGAGAGGCCTTTTTTGCTCACCCTCTCTCAGATCCCTGTGGATCCCACTGCTTATTCAGTCCCTGCCCTTTACTGGTCTGCAGAGTCCTTGAGGAGGAGGATCGTGCCTTTTTTACCTCCTATCTGCTAGGTACAGCATATGGGAAGTCCTCATTATTATTATTTTAAAAATTAATAAGCCTCCCCCTTCAAGGCTCAGTTCACACACCAACTCTCCATGGAACCAAGCCTGATTCCCTGGAGTGCAATTAGTGGCTTCTCCCTTGGGCTCTGTACCTCCAGTTTAAATTGGCTGAGGCCACTTTTGGCCCTGTACTGAATCTTCATATGTCCTCAGGCTCCTCAGAGATAGGCACTGTGGCCCTCCTAACTGTACATCCTCGAAGAGCTGTTCAGCCCCCTTAGAACTGAAAATGCCGGTGGCCTGAAGCACTACGATCCTCTGGCCTCACACTAGAAAAGGCCAGTAAACCCCTGAAAACCATCATCCCATGCAGTCAAGACACACTAGAGCTTCATTTTGTGTTTTTGTGTTTCTGATGGTCAAAGGAGGGAGGTGCCTTGGCAAAGGGGCCCCAGACTCAGTCAGTGCCCTTGTGTTTCTGTGCTCAACACTGAATCCAGGTCTCAGAAGTATTACATGTTTTACCCAGAAGAGTCTTGGAGATGAGATCATTCCTTGACCCTTGGACACATTTCTAGAAGGCAAGTTAGCCTACAATAACCAAATGTGCCTCTTACTCTGTCTTCTTGACTTAGATGGATGAAGTGTTGCTACCACGTGTGGGGGAGCAGAGATTCTTCCAGTGAAGGAGGGACTTCACAGAGGAAATTGCTCATCTGTGAGGATTACTTTGTGTAGGGCCCCATGCTAAGGGCTTTACTCACATCCACTTATTTAACTCCCACCACACCCTGTGTGGGAAACACTAGTATCACCATCATCAACATCACCACCACCACCACCACTACCACCACCAATCAAAACCATCATTATCGCCATTACCATCACCATCATCATCATCCCCATTTGATTGCCAAATACATAGTCAAGAAGATGGAGGGGTTTTCTGTCCAAGGCACAAATAATAAGAGGCAGAACCCAGCAGTGGGCTTCAGGGCTGAGCTGTCCCATCAGGGCCTGAGACACTTGCAAGTCGTGACTGAAAGGTAGAATTCTGATCACTTACATGGTGCCTAAACTACAACGTTGAGATATATTATACCTTATATTGTATTTGGAGAGAAAAAAAAAACATGACCTCTACTCTCATCACACCTGGTTTTGGCAAGACCAAAAATATGCTTGTTTCCATATCTACAGGTAATATCTGAAGGATGTGGGCAGCTCTGCTGGCAGCTCAGAGAAAGGAAGAGAGCTGGCACTTTGGCACCCATGTCCCATTTCTTGGAGCAGAAAGAGTGGGGCACATGGGGCAGGGACTTTTTTCCATTTTCTGTTGTCCTGACTGTTTGAACTTCAACTGGGCTTTCTCCCGTGGCACTCATCTAGTGGGCAAAGGGATGTGAACAAGAGCAGCATGGAGTTACTGGGGCCACACAGGCTGTGCCACTTTGCCCAGGGTACAAGGGGCTGAATCCAAGCCCTACTGTTAATTTTTGGATGTGTCCGGGACTCCTGACTGGATGGAAGTGTTGTCTATTCTGACACATCCATGTGCCAGACCCTACCACATTCACCCAGATTCACTCTCAGGCAGTTCTCCAACCCACGTGCTATAGGGAGTGTGGACCTCATTTCTGGATAAGGAAAACAGAGTCCAGGGAGGTGAAGTGACGTGTTTAAGCCTTTCAACTAGGAAAGTAGAGCCAAGATCTGAACCCTCTCACCCCAAGCATGGTGCCCTTCTGATGGCTGCAGAACCACCTGCTCATAACTCTGCTCATAACTTGGTTTGAATCTGAATCAGTTGATGGGACACATGTCTGATACCATCACTCCAGCCTGATTCTAGAACTCTGGCAATTGACAAGGCTGTCCTTCCTCATGTTTTCCTCATATGCATGTTTGGGCCCAACCATGGGACAATGAACCCCTACAAGAAGGAGTAGACATCACTACTGATTTTAAGGAACATTTATCCAAAACTTACCAAATGCCACTTAGTTGCATTTTTACATTTATGCATTCCAACAACCCTGTAGGTCAGTACTGTCATCCCCATTTCACAGAGAAAGAAACTGAGCTCACTGAGGCTAACTGCTAGAGCCCTGAACTGCATTCAGGCAGATGGATAAGAGCCCACCGGTCACCAACATGCTTGAGTAGAGACTTCCTCCTGTGGAGATGGATGCCTACATACATAAATTTTAAAAAACAATTTTATGTGTGGCTAAATCTTACACCAGTCACTTTCACATGTCATCTCAATCTTTGAGAGTGACCGGAACATCGGCCCTGGTAGTGACATGGGGGAGCACAAAAGTGATTTCTATCCTCTGAATCACAGCCAAAGTCATTTACTAGTATCTTCCTTACTTAACCAGTCTCCAACAAATTCCTGTCCTGAGGAAGCACTTTTCTTTGTAAATGTCAACAGCTTCATAATCTAGAGCTTTGCTGTACTTGTTTCCACTCCTCTGATTTCCTGTGCTCAGCCTGGGAGTTGCTAAGGTAGGGCCAAGGCTAATTCATCTCTGTGTTCCCAGGACCTGTGAGTAGCATGCATCAATGTAGGTAGCCAAGTAGTTCTATCTGCAGGCCCCTGGCCACCCTGCATATCATCCACAGTTGGAACAGTATCTAGCTGGTTCCTGAATCTCCCCTATGTCCCCTGTCCTTCAAATCCCCGTTCCAATTTCCCGCCCTTGATTTCCCTCCAGACCTTGTAGAATTGGGACTGAGGAAGTCCCAGTGTCTTGAGCAGCAAGTGAGACACCTACCTTCCCAGCCATGTGGGCAGGACCAGCTCAAAGAGGGCAGCTGCAGAGCCACATGTGTGTCTCTGTCTCTGGAAGTTGCAGGATCTAGACAAGAATTATTTCCCCTCTCATACAAACATATCATATTCCACTTAAATGTTCATGAAAAAGAAGTTCCTCACCTCTGGTGTTAGAAATACTTGGGAAAAAGTATTTTTTAGGAAAGGCTAGGATGTGAGTGAGTGATCACTGAGAGATGTGCCCTTTGACCTTGGTGAAGAAAGAGAAAATGGATGCTGAGCATCTAGCCAAAACCTTAAGATTATGCGGTGTTTTTCTTCCTTCTTTCTAGGTTTATTTCAACAAAAGAGAAGGATTACTACAGAACAAAAACAATGAAAACAATTACAGGTAGAAAAAAAAGAAGGGATTTATAAAATAGCAGTACCCTACTAAGGGCCCTTTTAACGTCCCACTCCCCAGCTCCCCTGAGCCCCCACCTGGCTCCAAGACCTCCCTCTCCTGTCTTCAC